TGCCCCATCCTAGCAGCCTGCAAGGAATTAAACCCTACCCCATCTGCCTGCCCCCCAGATGGATTTTGAGCTGTTTATGTGGATTAATCCTCTCTGCCTTGTGTTGGAGATGGTGTTGAACAGCTCGTTGTATCCCACCAGGGACTCTGTGGAGAGTGGCCTGACTTTTCTGGGGTTCCTTGTCATGAAAAACGTCCTCAAGCCAGAGTCTGCACCCGTGATTCACCTCCTGAGGAACGCCAACATCCGCCCCGTCATGGTGACAGGTGACCCTGCGGAGGGGAACGGGGGCGAGATGGGACACGGATGACCCTTGACGTTGGTTTCTCCACCAGAAATCGGTGGCCTGAAGCAGCTGGGAGGCAGGGCAAGGGCTCCTGCACCCTGGTTTTGTGCATCCCACTGCTTGTTTGCATCGCCTTGCCGGTGGGCTCGCGGCAGGCGGGGTGCAGAAGGGTGCAGGCTGCTTTTTCATGGATACAGCGTGAACCCACAGACCGGGGTGGGCAGCTTAAACAGCAAAACTGCTCACTGTTTCACTGCCAGTTGCATAAATGTTGATATCTTGTGTGCACCCCGAATTGCACAGCTAACGGGGAGGACGTAGGAGTCGCCTTTGGGTGTTTTACAGAAAGGCAAGCCGTGCTGCCAGGATTTGAAGCTGCTGCCTTTCTTCGGGGTAGGGCAGAAAGGAGATTTTAGAGCTCTCCCCCAAAATACGGGGAAGCAAAGAGACCCCCAGCATGGTTGGGAGAGGGGATGCGGCAGGTTTGAGCTGCTCTTCTTGGCTTGCAGCCGTGTGAGACCCTGCCAGCACTGGCTAGCAAACTCCGCTTGCCGTTCCTTAGCCCCGCCACCTCTTTCTGCTAGGAGACAACATGCTGACGGCCGTGAACGTGGCCAAGAGCTGCCGCATGGTGGAGCCGAAAGAGCGGGTGATCTTCGTCAACGCTTCCCCGCCCAGCCACGACAAACCCGCCGCTCTGAAATTCATCCTCGCCGAGCACTCCCAGGGCGAAGAGCAGCCGGAGGTGAGTCCCAAGGCAACGTTTCGGGGGTGTTTTGTAAAGCCCAAACTGCCGGTCACCTTGCAGGGCTCTCTTTTTCCCAGCATTGTTACCCTTAGAGGCAATTACAGGTGCGATTCTGCCCCTTGCTAAATGCCTCCTTTAGGAGAAGATAACCTGCTCCTGTTGCTCCCTGGGAGCACGTCAGGCTGGAGCTGATCCTCCAAACACCCTCGTGGGATGCAGCCAGCACCGTGCTGCTCACTGCTCCAGGCTTGGCATGAAAGGCTCGGTCACACAAGCTTTTTCTCCAAAATACCATTATTTATGTGCCTGAAATTGAGGTTTAAGGGAAGCCGCTTTACCTCCTGCTCCATGTGGGTTGAGGATGCCGGTTCAGACCGTTGCCCAGGGGCTCAGCAGGGATTTGAGCGCAAATCAAAGCCCCGCTGCAGAAAACGGAGTTGTTTTCCTTGGCAGGGTCCGCACCAGCGGGACAGCTGCTTCCTCCAGCCGCAGCCCTGCCACTTCGCGCTGAACGGCAAATCCTTCGCCGTGGTTTGCGAGCACTTCACCGACCTGCTGCCGAAGGTGAGTCCGACAGCGGGGAATCCTCCGGCACGGTTGACCTCGCTGGGGTTTTGTGCCGCAGCCTCGTAGCTCCAAAAGAAAATCCCCTGAGGTTTTTTTTTTTGCCGGTGCAAGATGCCCTCTGCCCTGCTGAGCTGGCAAAGCTCAAAATAACCAGGCTCCTCTGGGGTGCGCAGGGATGCGGGGTGCTGTGATAGAAACACGGAGCCTTCCCTTCTTTGCAGATCCTCATCCGAGCCACCGTCTTCGCCCGCATGTCGCCTGACCAGAAGACTCAGCTGGTGTGCAGCCTGCAAGAGCTCAAGTAAGCCCCTCCGGCCCCGAGGGATGGAGACAGAGGAGGGCATGGGGGTTAGGCCTCTGCCCCGAGACATCTCTTGTGTGCCGGAGTGGTTGGCAGCTGCGAAATCGCATCCTGCCCTCTCCCAGATGTGGAGTTATCCTAAATACGGGGGCGCAACCTTGAAGACGCAGGGTTTCCCCTGTCCGGTCGTGAACTATCGGATCCCTTCTCGCCGCAGCTACTGCGTGGGGATGTGCGGGGATGGCGCCAACGACTGCGGGGCTCTGAAAGCAGCCGACGTGGGCATCTCGCTGTCGGAGGCGGAGGCGTCGGTGGCCTCGCCGTTCACCTCCCGCGTGGCCAACATCGAGTGCGTGCCCACCGTCATCCGGTGAGCTGGTGGGAGCCGTGTGGTGGGGGATAAAAACCAAGGCAGGGGTCTCGTGAGTGCCTCTGTCCCCTCTTTGGGACGGCTGGTGGAAAGGGTTTTGGGGCTGGTGGGTGAATCTCTCTCTCTCTCTCTGCAGGGAGGGCAGGTGCTCACTGGTCACCTCCTTTGGTGTCTTTAAGTACATGGCCCTGTACAGCCTGGTGCAGTTCGTGTCCGTCCTGCTGCTCTACACGGTGAGTCCCACGGTTGCCCGAAGGGCTGCGATGCTCAGGGATGCCTTCGGGTCCTTGTCACGGTTGGGTTTTAACCTGGGACCTTTCCTAGCCCCTCCGTGGGTCCTCACAGCTGAGAGCGGGTGGTTTCTCCTTCCCAGATCAACACCAACCTGAGCGACTTCCAGTTCCTCTTCTTCGACCTGATCATCACCACCACTGTGGCAGTGCTGATGGGTCGGACCGGTCCTGCCCAGGAGCTGGGAGTGGAGCGTCCCCAAGGGGCGTTGATCAGCGTCCTCGTGCTGGGCAGCCTGCTCTTCCAAACGGCTCTGCTCATCACAGTGCAAGTCCTCAGCTACTTCATCACCGTCTCACAGAGCTGGTAAGGAACCTGGCTTCGTATGGGTTTAGTGATGGGAATGGCGCAGAGGATTGCGAAGAAGCCCGGGTGCTTGCCCTTGGTTTTGGCCAACGCCAGCTAGCGTCAAGGATGCATCCAGCCGCCTTGCAGCGAACGGCTCCCGTGTGCTCATGGAGAACACGGGGTCGGCGTTTAGATCCTCTCCTTGCCTCTTGCTTCATCTGAGCCCCTGTCTTCTCCCCTCCCTGCCTCAGGTACGTGCCGCTGAACAGCACAGTGATGGCTCCCCAAAACCTGCCCAACTACGAGAACACGGTCCTCTTCTCCATCACGGGCTTCCAGTACCTCATCCTGGCCGTTGCCATGTCCAAGGGGTACCCGTTTCGGGAGCCGCTCTACACCAATGGTGAGGATGATGCTGGCCACGTGGACGAAGGGAGACATCAAACCTTCATCCTCCTCCTCCTCAACCCTCTTCCTTCTCGCCCTCAGTGCTCTTCTTGGTAGTCCTCATCCTCCTTTTTGGCCTCATGATTTGGTTGACCCTCTACCCGCTGGGCTTCCCCAAAACCCTGCTGAAGCTGAAGGGCATCGACGACTTGAATTTCAAGCTGCTGCTGCTGGGGATCGCCGCCCTCAACTTCTTCGCTGCCTTCGTGCTGGAGGTAGGTCAGCCTGGCGTGGGCATTGGGCACGAGGGACGCGTGTCGTCCTTTTGGGTCTGTCCGAGCAACCCCTTTTCCAGGAGCTGTGGGCATGGAAGGAGCAGGGCTCACCTTGGCATCGGCTCTGCCCTCTCCTCGGGGTCCACAGCCTCCCCAAAACCCGTTCTCCCCCCATCTTTGCTGCAGACTGCCCTGGACCACGGCTTGCTCAGCTGCCTCCGCAGGCTGCGCCGAAAGAAAGTGTCCAAGAAGCTTTTCAAGAGGCTGGAGAAGGAGCTGAGCCAGCAGCAGCCGTCCTGGCCGCCTCTTAACGAACCACTCTTTGCTACACCCAAGATGTCCATCGCTGTGAGATAGCACACGTCGGGCTTCCCTCCTGCCTGCTCTGCAGGCAAGCGCTGCCTGCCAGCCCTTGGATGCTGTTGTTTGTTTATTTATCCTGGTAAATCGAGGGATGCCGCGGGCAGGCTCCCGCAGGGAGACCCTCAGCATCGCAGCTGTGAATCCACACGCACCGGTCCTGCAGCCGTGGCCGAGAGGAGGAGATGCTGGAGAAGCAAACTGGGGGAGAAGGTGCAGAAAAAAGAGGAGAAATGGTCCAGCTCAGCTCTTCCTCCAGGACCCCTCCTGCTCCCGTGCTGGCCTCGGACCCATCTCGCCGCGCTGGGCACTGGTACTGTTTTGCAGGGGGACGCCGCTTCCCTTTTCCTCTCCTGGCTGGTCGAAACCACCAAGAAGAGGGTCCCTGACATGGCGAGGGCACCCACCCCAGCCTCGCGTCTCTGCTCACTGTGAAAAAAAACCCCCCCGCGACCATCCTAGATGTGTAGGAACTGTTTACAAACCACCCCGTCCCCGGCTTGCCAAGGATGCTGCTCCGTCCCCGACGCCCAGGGACCAGCCACGGGCACCGTCTCTGCTTGTGAGCACTTCTGCTTTGGGACGGGACCTTTGTAGCATTAAAAAAAACCCCAAATCTCTTTATTTTTTAACTACTCCAGTGCATCGAGGTGTAAGTGCAGTCGGGAGAACGACGTACTGCTTTTGTTTTCCGTATGGTGCTGTCGTGAGCGTTGTCTAATAAATTAACACTATTTTCTTGACGGCTTGCTTGTGCTGCCTGGCGCGGATTGGACTGCTTGGGGCAGGACGGCGTTGACGGCGCGGGTGAGTATCAGATGGAGTAGGGGAGCAGCTCAGAGAGGTTTTAGGGTCACCTCGTTCTCCAGCTGGGCTGGAAGATGCTGTCCTCGATGTTCGAAAGCAGAGAGTGAAGCCAGGGACAGCACCGCTGGGATTTCATCAGCCCAACCCGAGCATCAGCGAGTAAATAACCCCTGAGCCTGTTTTCCAGCTGGAATTTCCTAGAAAACAATAATAATTGCTGGAAAAACCCAGGTGTCCTCGCCAAGTCTGCAAAACCTGGCTCCTTCAAGGGAGGAAAAGCCGGCAGATGGAGATGCCGCATCCCGAAAGGGGAAGAGCCGATGTCCGGGGAGGGGGATGCGCTGTCTGCATCACCCTCCGAGGGTTTTTTGGCCGCCTCCGAGCCCGGCTCTTGGATTGAAGGCTGGTTCTTGCGGGGACTCGCCTGCATGGAAAGTCTCAACCCCTCCGAGCGCCAGCGGCGCCTCTCTGCCCTCCGGGAGCTGGGGATTAGATCAGGAAATGAGGCACAAGCAGAGGTAAGAGGTTTCCTGAAATCCTAGCCAAGCCTTGAGTTATTAAACCAGGCTTCCTGAGCTTAAAAAAAAAAAACCAACACACACAACCCTCGGAGGTTTTTGCCTGTGCTTGGCAATTTTAAAAGCAAAAGGGCCCTGGGTGTGAGGGACCCCTTTGCACCCCGGTTTTCCAGCCCCCACCAGTGTGGTTTGCTTGGCTGGTTTTTGCAGGGTGTTCCCAGCCTCAGGGGGGTTTGCAAAGTCCATTTAATTATTAACAGGCAGCTCCTGCCCTTAGCTAGAGGTTAACAGGGCTGGGGACAAGGGCAGCGCTGGATTTCGGGGCAGGCAGAAGCTTTATGGGAGCAGCTCTGAGTTGGGTTCGGAGTCATTTGGATGGTTTTATTCGTCCTTCAGACTGGAAAACCAGGCTTGATAGGAGATGGGAGCAGCTTAAAAACCCCTCTGCTTCTCCTCCTAGTCTGAAACTGTTTTCTCCTCGTTTTTAGAGCAGTCGGACCCTGTCCTGGCTGCAGAAACGCTCAGACCTCAGCACAACGAACTTGGTGCAATGGGTGCAATCCTGCCCCGCGGTGAAAAATCTCTGTCGTCTCCTCCCCGTTGCTCACCCCCATCCCCGTGCACGCCGCTGCACGCTGCTGCCCGTCTCCAGGGAGCTTCTCCCTCCATCCCAGCCCTTGAGCACCCTCCGTTTGCCCCGTTGATGCTTTTGAACATGCCTAAAATTTGAAGGTTTTTATCCCCCAGCACCGGGCTCGGTGTCACCGCCAGGCTCGGGGGTTTTAGGGGAGCATCCCCAGCCTTGCCGGGATGCAGCCGGCATCCCGCGTCCGCCGGAAAGCCGCCAGCGAGCCGGGGAAAAGAGGGCCCCACGGTCAGCAATGCTGGCTCCACTGCTGTGCAGATATGCTCCGGCATCCTCAGCCTGGGTGGGAAAAAAGGGGTTTTATTTTTTTTCCCCTCCATCCCAGGATAAAGCTTTAAATCTGCTGGGGGGTTGCAGCATCCTCGCTGCTCAGGGGGGCAGATTGAATGCTGATACCAAGCTTGGACAGGTGATTGGGATCCCAGGATCCCAAATTTTAGAGGTTTATCCGAGATCATAGAGCGATCCCCTGACATGATCCTTTCATCTCACCCTCCAGCAGCACAAAACCCAGACTCAACTTCGCCGGCGTGCTCGGCGCTGCACAAAATCCTCCTCTCTCCTTGCTTTTACAATCAATTTAAAATTCATCCAGCTGGAAAAAAAAAAAACAAAACAAACAAACAACAGAGCCCTGACGACCTTGCATCGATACGCACGTATTGATTTTTTTTTTTTTTTAATTATTATTATTTTTTCCCCCAGCAGGCAGCAATTTGGGAGGAGGAAGGGGCCGGCTCAGGTGTGGCATTAGGACCCAGCGGAGCCCCCATGTTGGAGGTAGGAGTGTGGGTTTTTTTTAACTCTCATTTTGGAGTTTTTGAAAGCAGAGAAGAGAGGAAGGCGGTGGGCAAGGGCAGGACCAGCACTACCACCCGGAGCGGTAAGGACCAGGGCCGAGAGACCCCCCACCCCAGCCCCCTGCCTCACCCAGGGATGCTGGGGACCCCCCAGCAGCGGATGGGGCTGAACCCCATCTTCGGGGCTTTGCAAAGTTGCCTTAAAAACTCCATCGGTCGGGGCAGGCGA